ACACCAGGACCAGGGCAGCTGCGCTCTTCTTCATTTAGATTTGTTCCTTTGTATCTGCAGACACCAGCAAGGCTGAACAGCAACCCCGGGGCATCAGAAGAACAGTGTGTGTGACATCAGTGTGTGCTCACAACCAGGAGGGTCGGACGTCACTGCAGCTGCTGCAGAGACGATGCATGCAGAGCACCTTAGAGTGAAGTCAGCCTGGTGGAAGGTGGCGGTTTCCACTGCCCGCCTGGCGGTAAGCAGGAGTTGACACAACTTGGTCATTACAAACGCTCCAGGCTGAAAACCCAGTCTGTGTGAATCTTGGCCACCACAGGGGTTGGCAAAGCTCTGGAGTTGGTTTGTCCTTCTCTTTTATCCTTTTTCAAGAATGTGTTAATATTAATGCTGCACATGAAACGGAACACACAGCGCACCGCGGCGGGCCAGCGTGAGCACCCACGCTGCTGGTTCAGAGAAACTCGTGATGCCCACGAACTCACCTTCACGGGGCTCCGGCCGGAAGCCAAGAACTCAGGCTCCCTTTGAGCTCAGCCTGACCTCGCCTGCCTATTGATCACTCATCAGAAACACTGGCACTTCGAAAGGGAACTGGGGCACTGATGGAAACGGGCTTGAGTGGGAATTTAACTTTGTAGGAACAGAGCTTGCCGTCACAACGCCCATTCCGCTGGCTTTGGTGAGCCAGGAGCGTTTTCACTGGGGACAAGAAGAGAAAGGAAGGGAGGCGACGTTAGGTTGTGACATGTGAGGTACACTGCAGGAAGGACAAGAGCGGCACTGCCGGAGCCAGGGGCATTATGGCGCACTGAGAAGACAGAGCACTCAGGAAGGGCGTGCAGGGGCACCTGAGGCCCCACGCTCGGGCTGGCAGGAGTCTGGGCATGGGCATGCCAGAGGCCAGCCCTTCCTACCCTGCCCCACCTGAGACTCCGACACCTGAGGTCCCATCCCAGCATCTGTGTGTTCTGATCCTTGCTCAGAAGGAGGACAAAACAGAAGAGATGGCTGTATGTCTGCGTGAGCCTGTCTCTACCTTAGGGAAGAGAACACAGAGAGTACTGCTACAAACCAGAGAAGGGGACTTGTTCTAACGCTCCATTCTGCAATTTTACTTTGTTCTTTGCAGAATTGTGGAAAACCTTTACTGTAGGTAAAAATAAAAATGTCTAGACTCCCTGAGGCAGTAGAGATGGTGAGTTACACTTGCTAGGCTGGACACTCTCCAGGGATCCTTCCACATCACTCAGCAATCTGAACTTATGCAGAAAGGAGAGAGAGATATTAATCAACTCAGTTTTTAAACTCTTATAAGTTGATAAGCAAAGTATTCTGTGCTAAAATACCTCTGGTGATGAAGAACTCATTATTCTTGAAAAACTCTTTTATTTGGATAACACTGTAATTATAAAGTATGCCCTTAGGGTCCCAGAGTGGCTCACTATGAAATGTGCCAATGATGTTTGATTACGAAGCACTATAAAATATTGTTGCTAAATTTCTGTGTTAGGAGTGAAGCTAGCAAATATAATCAATGCTTTTTATCACTATAATCTAGCTCAAATATCATGATTTAAACACTCTGTCTTATCAAGACTTCAGTGATAGAATGATGTTTGGCTTTTATCCAACATTAAACCACATGTTAACAAGTGAATATTACTCAATCATGAAAAAGGAAGTGGGTACTGATACATGCTATTTCATGGATGAGCCTTGGAAAGGTTATGCTAAAGAAAAGAAGCCAGACACAAAAGGCCACAGATTGTATCTATTTAGACAGAATGTCCAGCACAGGTAATAAAGACAGAGAGGAGATGAGCGGTAGCCTGGGGTGGCTGGGAAGGAAATGGAGAGAGACTACTCCTGGATCTGGGTTTTGAGTGTGAATACTACATCCGAAACTAGCGCTGTGGGCAGTTGTCGTCTTAAATATACCAAACCCCACTAAATTCTATCTTTAAATGGGTGAATTTTACGGCATGTAAATTACACAGCAATTTTAAGAACAAGGGCCAGACATGCAGTTACAGGACTGTAATAAAAAGTCACTGTGGGAGGCACTGCCACCCGAGGGACTCCAGACTCAGTAGAACAGCCAAAATGCACACCAACCGCAGCTCTGCGGACGCCTAACAACCATGCGGCGAGGGATGAACACAGGTCCTAGTAAAGGGTCCCGGGCTGTGTTTACCTTAATACTCCCTGACCCGTGAGAAGTTTTCATCTTTTTATTTTACAGGGAGGGTATGTCGACTTCATCTCAGTTGTACTTGTACTTATGAAAGTTCAGGGAATTTCAAAGCCACAAACAGGTCCTTCAAAGAGAAGCTGGAAAGGTGAGCTGCTATTACGGTCTGCTTCCAGCTCCCTGGGGCTCCCTGGGGCTCCTGTGGGCCTAACTGGAAACACATGACTCTGCTCAGGCACCTGGGAGGCTCCTGTTCCTCTCCAGTGACAGTCACCCGTCCTGTAAGAACCAAAGCCTTGGGGAAAACACTCTCTGAACAAAGCACAAATACGCTGACTTTTTCAGATCACAAGTTCAAAATGTTATAGGTGTAGAACTTCTTACTTCCCTGTGAATGCCACTGAGAACTCCTAACTTGAAAGAGGAACTATCTGAATTAGACCACATTTTCCCCCCAAAAGAGAAAAGAGACCTTACGTGGCGGTTCATAACACGATTGATGTCACCGTCACATAACCTACATACTGTATTCAACCTCGAGTTCTTGTTTGGTGGTCAGGAATTGTGCCTATCTCTTCCTACTGTAAACTCCAAGGACTGTACGTGAATCTTGATTTTTTAGGTTAAGCTTGATGATGAGGCCTCACACCCCGAGAGGAACCCCAGCGCTCTCGTACGCCAGAGACTCATTAATTACGACTCCTCGCGATCCCACCCTCTACTGCAGGGCTTCTTAGACGTGCTCACACTACACTGGGCTGCAAAGTGACCAAAGCACACTCAGAATCTCACAATAAAACTACTGTGCAGACGTCCACGTGGACAGTGACGCACAGTGTCACCAAACACCCACACAGCAGAGGGAAGGGGCCCTGGGACACTCACAGTTGTATCCAGGTGTGATGTGGTGCTGGGCTTCCAGGCTGGCCAGGGTGATGTGGAAGATGATGTGCAGCAGCAGGAAGGACAGGCTCAGGAAGCACAGCGACTTCAGCAGCCGCCCTGTGTGTCCTGGGGGTGAAAGCAGAGGCTGTGAGGAACTGAGACCAACACTGCTCTGCCTCTCCAAGGGGTCCAGAGAACGCGTCCCTGTACCACCTGTGGTGGAGGCTGGCCCACCAGTCCAGGCGTGCAATGACCCCGACCTTAATTGTTAGTCGATAGCCAAAATCCACCCTGCACAACATCACACAGTCAGCCTCACGTGCGTTAAAAACTCAATGTAATAGAAAAATGTCTTCTTACGCATTATATGACATGTTATATGGCATGTTAAAGTGGAACCGCAAAAGGGTTCTGGCCCAGAAAATTGTACAAAATGTTGCTGTCAAACTTATAAAATACAGATTACCTGCTCCTTCAAAAGTAGTTGTAGAGAAAAAGAAAGAAGTTAGTCTGAAACATTTTGTAGTTAGGGTAAGTTTAATTTCAATAAAATAAGGCTGGAAGAGAAAACTATGAACTAATTTTACTTGTGAACATAGACCTAAACTATTAAAAAGATTTATTAAGTAACTGAAATAGCACAGTAAAAAAAAGGAATACATCATAATCAACTAGACTTTATTGCTGAAAACCAAGGGTGGTTTGACATTAATGGATCTGTAAGGGGATTCACATAGCAGTGGGCTGATGTCACGACTTTCTCAATGGACACAAAAGAAACACTTCTGAAAATTCAAAATGAATTCATGGTTAAAAAACTAAGAAACCAGGAACAGAAAGAAGCTTTCTTAAAGGACTGAGCCCATGGCTAAAGCAAGCATGCTCTTTCTGATACAAGTTTAGGCGGGGTCTCACTAATGTCAGAGATAAGGTCACTCAACAGTGCCACCACCAATTAACATGCCGCTGGGTGTTCCAATAATACTGTAAAATTAAAACAAAGAATCAAGAATCTTATTAGCCAGAAGTGTTTACAGATAATATGATCAAGTAAAATAATTTTCAGAGGATATCATTATCAATATAGAGCATGGAACTGAATCCACAGACCAATTATTAGAACAAATGCAAGAATTCAGGAAATGATTGAGATACAAGACCATCTCGCAAAAAACAACGTTCCTCCCCACAGTGCAGTAACCAAATAGAAACTGAGACACAACTTGGATAGCAATCAGAACTCTGCAACGGTGGGTCAGGTGTCAGGCTGGGCTGCTGCGCACAGTTATCTAATCAAACACTTGTTAGGGGGCTGCTTGGAGTTTTCTGGTGTCACCACAGTCCACTGCCCACTGACTTTAACAAAGGGAGGAGACTGTCCGCCACCTTCCGGGCAGGCCTGGCTCCATCTGCTGGAAGGTCTGAAACCAGGGAGGGGAGTTAGGGAAGGCAACTGAGGGCAGGAGAGGAGCTCAGCTCGCCCCCTGGAGATTGGTCTGTCTGGGACCTTCCCTTCCTGACGGCCTGCCCAGTCTGCTGTGGACCTTCTTGGCCAGTTCACAGTCAGTCCTGCAAACCTCGACATAAAAGTCCTCAACCTAAAAGCTACGTAAAGAAGTATTCAAGTCACATATGCATATATATCCTATTGTACTGCAACTCTCTCTCAAACTTGATTAATAAAAATATCTAAAAATACACATAGTTTAAAGACTTTTATGGATAAAATAGATAAATGAAGAAATATGTTACATTATGAATGAGATGATTTATGGCAAAGATGTCAATTTCCCCCAAATTTGGTCTACAAATTCAATACAATTTCAAATAGCATGCAATAAGAAACTTCTATGTCTTCGCCAAATACGTTTCAAAATACCTAGGAGGGATGTTCTGAGGATCTCAACAAACATTTAAAAATACATGTAGGAATAAAACTCTAGGAGTTGCTATGCTAATTTTGAAATATTAAGAAATAAGGTCAAAAGTGGGCAAAGCTCGTATGCGCAAACAGACATTAAGGTATGTTATAAACCTATAAGTTGAAACAAAATAAATGAATAAAACAGAAAAATAGTCAAGTGCAATATCATATATTGCTAAAGTAAAACCCAACTTATTTAAATTAACTTGGTAAATGTCAAAGTTGACCCTATGAATTAAGAGAAAAAGGATAGGGATGACATCAGAGATGTGATAGGGTCAGAGGCCCCAGCTCTCACCTCCCCATAGAAGCACAAATTTTGGCAACCACCATGGATGAGAGTACTTTTGTGGGAGCCCCAGAGACTAGTTGAGTTACACCATCTCAATGGGAAAAAAAGTCCCAGAGTGAGCGTCCTGAAGAAGGCAAACTGAGAGGAGCAGTTTCCTTTATCCACGGGATCTCTCCCCAGAGTGGCGCAGCGTGGCGCTGGGGGGCCTGATTGCACTGCAGTTTCTACTCCTGGGCCAAGTGAGAATGACATGAGCACCCAATTTCCCAGTCTTGCATATGCTGCCCGGGAGGCCCACTGTCTCATCCCACCCAGAACACGGAATGGAGAAGCATGGATGGGTTGCCGGGAGACAGTGAAGAGCAGGAAGAAGAGTGTGTGTGCTTCTCAAGAGCATCACAACCCTGGAGCCTGCTGACAGACTCCCCCAAGAGACCCATCACTGACCCTTGCAGGATGAGTCACCCAAAGACCTCCACAGCCCGCTGATGCAACCACACCTTGGATCCCTCCTCCTGCAGACATCATCCCACACATCCTTGTGCATGGGCTGCATGAGCTCTTGCAGATAGTATAGAGAGTGCAGCAGCAAACACAGACCCAGTAACTGGCTGGGTTTTACAGGTTAGCAAGAAGGTATTCAACTTTGAGCACTTTGTTAGGGCCCTACCCTAGCAAAAATAAGCGGTTGTCTCTCAGCACCTAGCCTGGCTTTATTGATATGGGAGGCACAGGAACCCAAGAAAAGAAGTGACAAGAGGGATGCAGCAGGTCTACCCACAGAAAAAAATTGAGAGAATCCTCTACCCTCACAGAATCTCAAATCAGGCTTACTGGTGAAGCACTTTCTCTTCTGAGATTAGTCAATAAAGACCAGAGACGGGCAAGTGCCAAAATGGCAATCTAAGGCTGAAAGGAGCACAAAGAATCAAGGAAACATGACACCACCAAAAGAAAAAACTTAAGCCCATCTACGTGAGAAAGCCCATCTACAGGCTGAGCCCATATACATGAAAAGCCACAAATCTCCTGGCAAAGATTCAAAATAATCACCTTGCAATTCAGTGAGCTATAAGAAAATACAATCAGCTAGATGAAATCAGGAAAGCTGTATGTGAGACATTCAGTAAAAAGGCAGGACCAGAAAAAAGGAATCGAGCAGAAGAATATAAAGCCTGAAGTGAAAAATTCAATAGAAAGCGTCAACAGTTGACTGGGCTAAACCAGAAGAGTCAGAGAGTTTGCAGACGGATTATTTGATATTACCCAGTAGAGGAAGGAACAAAATTTAAAAACAATGAAAAGGAGGTGAAAATAGGTTGTGGCAGTCATGGGACACCAGCAAGTGACCATTAGACACATTATGATGTCCAGAAAGGAACAGAATGAAAAAGGGGTAGAAAGTTAACCCAAAGGAACAATGGCAGAAAAGCCACCTCATCTGAAGAGTCAGATAGACATCAGGGCCCAAGAAGCCTAAAGAACTCCAAAGAGTAAGGAGGTCTTCACAGAGATACACTGTGATCAAAATTTCAAAGGCCAAAAACAAAAACAAAAATTTAAATGAGCAAAAGAAAAAAAAGTCATCACCTACCAGAGCCCCTCCAGGTGACTGTGAGTGCTTCTCATCAGGCCTGAGAGTGGGAGGTGTATTCAAAATGTTATGAAAAGACTTTCACCCCAACCAGGCCACCCATGGATGCTATCCTTCAAAATTGACAGGCAGGTGCTGGAGGGGCTCAGCACCACCAGACCAGCCTTATGAGAAATGCTGAAGGGAGGACATGAAATGAAAAGACCCCAAAGAGCCATGTGAAGGGCTCTGAAGACATGAAGCTCACTGATTAAGGCAAGAATATTGTCAAAGTCAGAATATTCTAAGGCTGCAATGGTGCCATGTTAATTATGTTGACCTCCAATGTAAAGGTTAAAATATGAAATCACTAAAAACCATCATCACAATAATTTGTTAATAGATACGAATTTTAAAAATGTAAATTGTGACATCAATAACATGAAATATGGGAGAATCAAAGTGTAGTTTTTACGTGTGACTGAAATAAAGTTGCTATCAAATTACGTAGATTATTATAACTAGAAGCTGTTTCATGGTAATCGTTAAACCCAACTTGTACAAGATGCACAAAAGGTAAAATGAATCAAAGCCCACCACTACAAAAAAAAATCACACCATGAAGGGAGAGAATAAGAGGAAGAAAGAGCAAAGAGATGAGAGAGAGAGAGAGAGAGAGAGAGAGAGAGGAGAATGAACAAAATGCAATTGTTGGTACTGACCTATCAATATTTTTTTAATGTAGATGAATTAAATTATCCTGTTAAAAGATTGAGGATGATGAAATAAATTTAAAAACAAGACCCAACTGTATGTGTACCAAAAAATTCAGCTTTCAGGACACATACAGGCTGAAATGAAGGGAGAGAAAAACATATTTCATGCAAAGAGTAACCGAAGGAGAGCAGGGAGGGCTATTCTCATATCAAAGTAAACTAAGTCAGAAATCTCTCACAAGAGACAAAGACGGTCATTTGATGAAGCTGAAGCATTCAATTCATAGGAAGGATAGAATAATTTTGCACGTACACGCACATGACCTCAGAGCACCCAGGTGTGCCTGTTAGCGGAGATGGATGGAGAGGTAGATGGCGGTATAATCACAGTAGGGTCCTGCACAGTCCAGTTCACAATGGCCACACCTTACAGACAGAAGAGCCAACAGCATGGGTCTGAGCAGCTCGGCGGGCACTCCACTGACCCCTGAGCACACTTTCTTCCCAGGCACACACAGAACGTTCTCCAGGACAGATGGCAGGCGAGGACACAAAGTGAGTCTGATCCAATCTCCTCACCCTGAACTCACGTCTTTCTGACCACAGTGGATGGAACTGGAA